TCATATATATATATATAAAATATATATATTATATATATTATATATATATTATATATATATAATAATATATATATTATATATATATAATATCTCCAGTGAGAGAGTGTGTGAGAGAGTGAGAGATTTATCATAAGGAATTGGCTCATGTGATTATTGAGTCTAAGAAGTCTAGACCCAGGAGAGCTGATGGTATAGTTTCAGCCCGAGTCGAAAGCCTGATGATGGGGAGAGCCAACGATGTAGGTTCCAGTTTGAGTCTAAGTCCAAAGGCAAGAGAAGACCAATGTCCCAGCTTGAAGACAGTCAGACAGGGAGAAATAATTTTTTCTTTCTTAACCTTTTATTTTATTCAAGCCTTCAATGGATTAGATGAGGCTCATCCACATTGGGGAGGGCAATCTGCTTTTCTCAATCTACTGATTGAAATGTTAATATCATCCAAAAATATCCTCACTAACACACCCAGAAACAATGTTTAACCAAATATCTGGGCACTGTAGGGCCCTGTCAAGTTGATACCTAAAATTAACTACCAGTGTGTGTGTGTGTGTGTGTGTGTGTATGTGTCAGAGATGAGAAAAACTCCACAACCTAAATCCTTCTCCTCTTCTTTTTTTTTAAGATTACAATTCCCTGTCTGATTTTCCAAAGATTGATTTGATTATTTATTTATTTATAAGGAATATTTATTGGGTATCTGTTATGTGCTAGGCATGATGCTACCATTGAGGATATAATAATGAGTTAGACACACTGTCTTCAAGGAGATTATCATCTAGTGGGGAAGATAAACAAATATAGAGATAATTTTAATATTGTGCTACAGCAGGAGTAGGCATTAAATGCTGAGGGATCACAAAGGAAAGACATCTAATCCTACTCTGGGAGTCAGAAAAGGCTTTCTGGATGAGATAAAATCTAAGTCATGAAGAAGAGGAGCTTAATCAGACAAAAAGCTAGGGAAACCTGTCAAAGGCTGAGGAAACATCATGGATGAGAGATGAGGTTAGAAGTCTTCTGAATTTTCCCCAGTCCATCTACATGATTCAGCTGAATGAAGAATGCAGAACAACAGGCATATTAAAAGAATACAAACCTCTTTTTTGGGTGCTGTGAACCAAAAGGAAAAGATGTGGCATGAATCACTCATCCAAAGTCTATTCATAAGAAGACAATATTTGCTCAGAGCCTGAACATTGTCTTCATCAATGTGGCTGGCAATGTATAAAGTAATGATGGTCCTTCTTGGCTATGTTGGGCCCCTTTTCGATTTCTGGTTGTAAAAGAGGAAGTCACTGAGTTTAGTTAGGCTGAGATCATCCCCTCTTCTCTCCCAAGCTTTGTTGAGGTGTAATTGACAAATAAAAATTGTATATATTTAAGGTACACAAATGTGATGTTTTGATATATGTTTACACTGTGAAATGATTACCACATCAAGCTAATTTACATATCCATCAACTCACATGGTAACCATCAAATCTTCATTTGAATAAGGAAGAAAGGAACTATGGCAATCCCGCTAAGGTCTAGCCCTCTTAGAGTTCTCTTTCTAGGCCACAGTACCCAACTTACCCTTTGCTCTTAAGTCTTTTATGTTAGAAGTGGGGCTAATGTCTTGTTTCCTCCTTTCCTTTTTTTCCCCTAGGTGAAATAATCACAAATGGATTTCAAGAAACATTCTATAAAGTCCTGACCTTGAAATTCTTTGTCATCCTAAGAAGTTTGGACTTTATCCCGAGGTCAAAGAAATGAAAAATCAGATTATTGTAGCTGCACTATGAAAAATGGAGTGAAGTAGGGTAACACGAGAGGCATGGACAAAAATTAATCATCTAGGTAAGGGCAAATAATGACCTGAACTAGGGTAAATGCAGTGGGAATGGAGAGATTATTTGAGATGAATTAAAAGGATAGAACAAATAGGACTTGATGACTAACTGGATATGGTGGCCTGGTGAATACGGGGCAGGAATCAAGGTTGATGGTCTGATTTCTGACTTGGGCAATGGGGTGTATAGTGGTGCTTATACAAAGATTAAGAACTTAAAAGGGGAAGTGAGTGTCAAGCAGTTCCTAGCAGCAGTCAGCTGTTAGGCTGGCTCACCACACTACTGTAGATTCACGTGATAAGGAAATGATGAGCCCAGGTAGAGTTACACAGTTTATTACTCAAAGAAAAGTAGACACATGATCTTCATGTTTGTATAGGTTCCCCAAGTTCCCTAATACAGTGTGAGGCCAAGGTAGATGCTGTATACACAGTGGATCTGTGTCCTCCCAATCTTATAAGAGGCTACTAGCAAATTTGCCCAACCTTATCCTTATCCTGGAGAGTGATGGTATCTCTGTTGTTCTGGTCAGGAAACAAATGCGCCTTCTAACACTGAGGGGTACACTATCTCTAGTCTAAGACACACAGAAACACCATGGACTCAGCATGATAATGATTTCAATTTTGGACATAATGAATTTGAAGTGCCTATGATATCTAAATAAAGATATTCAGTTGACAGTAAAATGTTTATAGGAATAATCAGTATAGTGTTTATAGAAATGAGATAATAAAAAATAAAATCTAGAAAGCTTGCTTATAATAATAGTATGATAGTCATATATAAGATAGTTACAGCAAGTGGTTATTGTCTTGCCTGATTTACCACTATGACATTATTGATAGTGTAAGATTTATTATTTTATTCATTACAAACTGAATTCACCTAGTAGGCTTAGTCTTCTGTTGCATATGAAGTTTGATGTACTGCTAACAACCTCACCAAACAAGAAAGTAATATGGTGGCAGGATATTTATGACATATTATGGAACTGGCTTTGTAACTGACTTTTGCCCACTTTAGTCTAGACTAGCCCTCTCCAATAGAAATAAAATTGTAGGCCACAAATGTGAGCCACATATATAATTTAAGATTTTCTACTAGCCACATTAAAAAAGTAAAAAGAAACAGGTGAAATTAATTTTAATAATATACTTTAACCAAATATATCAAAAATATTATTTCAACATGTAATCAACATAAAATTATTAAAGAGATATTTTACATATTTTGCATACTAAATCTTTGAAATCTGATGTGTATCTTACACTTATGGCATGTTTCAATTTGGACTAGACATATTACAAATACTCAATAGTCACATGTGGCTACTGGCTATGTTATTAGACAGTGCAGGTCTAGACTTCATAAACAAGTTATATTTCATTATATATGAGGAATATAGTTCTTTAAATGTTGGAAGACTAAGTATTATGGAATACTTTTAATTAAACAATTGAATACTAAGGACAGCTAATATTGTAATAAAAAACAAATGGCCACTGAATTGACATTTTTTTTTTTTTTTGAGGAGATCATGGGTTTCACTTAAAATTAGTTAGGTCTTGCAGTGCCTAAAATGGGCATCTTGGAAGGTGAATTTGGTCTGTAGGGTGTATCACTGGTAAACCACTCAAGGATTTCACTAAGTAGACTAGGTGGCCAGGAGATTTAAAGTACAGTTCAATGTACATCATTTACCCTTGCAGAATAAGTTGTGTTGGTAGAATTTGTTCTGTCATTTTATTTAATGAGCTGCCTCATTATTTTGCAGCTTGTGAACATTTCCTTATTTACTATGTCGACAAATGTATTGTCTCTGCAGTGCAGAAGCATCTCAAAAACCTAAAAGATTTCTGAGTAATTTAATGAAAAACAGACATTGAGGGGAAAAATCAGCCACCCTACATGCCCTCAATAGAGCAGTTGGAAATAATACACTTTTGAAGGTCTGAAGTATGTTAGTGGTTTTAGAAAAAGTCTAGTTAAGTAGTTTGAAAGACTTAAGACCTAGGAAACTGATGATACGTGATAATAACTTACTGAGTTTGCTTTGGGCCCCCCAGCAAATCATGGAACTTGATATGTATTTGAGGATACCTTTAATCCTAATCAATGAAATGTAGTCACATTGAATTGTATATTGAGGGAATGTGCTCAGGGAGAAGTGAGTTTCTGTGCTGAATGTCTGAGTGAAAGCACCTGACTACTTGAAAGCCTGTTGCTATCTCTTTGAGGTTGATTATTATCTGTGATTGATCATTGAGGATTTTTTTGTTTGTTTTTTGAAAGACTTACTTGGGAAAAGCAAATGGTAAGTGTTAGTTGAAAAGATTTTTCTTTTAGAGAGTGTTCATAGGAAAAGACAAATAGTTCTACTTTATCCTTGCTTATTGATGCTTTTATTAAGAGGCAAGCAGCTTTAAACGTTAGATTAATTCTATAGCAAAGTGATATAAAAGTGGATGTGTGGTGGGTAACAGTATTGAATGAGGAAGTCAGAAGCAGTAGGGTAGGTAACATCTCCTTTGTTTCCATGATCCAGAAGGACTATGTGTGTACCATTATACAGTTAGGAAGTTTGTCAATCTACTACAGTAAAATAATCTGGTAAGGTTTAACGTCATGTTTCTTTTTTTTTTTTTGTCTTTTTGTCTTTTTCCGTGTCCGGCAACGGATCGCAACCCTCAGTGTCGCCCCTGTACCGGACCGGGACCGGCAACGGGATCGCAACCCTCGGTGTTGCTCCCGCACCTCGCTCAGCCAGTGAGCGGGAACTGGTCTGTATGTGGGATCCGAACCCTCGGCGGGAGCGCCACCACGCTCCCAAGCGGCGCACTGTAGCAGTGCGCCACCGGGCTGGCCTTAATGTCATGTTTCTGATTTAAACATTTATGGGTTAAACCTATTGTCATTTAGTATCTTGCTTTGGAATGAAGGAGTTCCTGTCAAAGGAGTTTTCAAACAATGGCTTGAAAAGTTTGAAAATCATTGTTATACTATAGTAAATGTGGTCACAGAAGGCCTCCCTGAGAAATGGATATTTGGGCTATGACTTGAAGGAGATGGGGGAGAGAGCCCTGCAGAAGCATAGGGAGGAGAGGGACAGCATGGAGGCCAGTGTGGCTACAGAAGCAAAGGGTTTACTATCATCTATTGCCTTCTTTATTTTCTAGGTACTAGTTATACAAACCTTACTTGAAATGAGGAAAATTGGGGAAAAATGTTATAGCAGAACAATGGGTTTCAAACTTTTTAAAGCATTGTTTGGAAATAAATCTTAAAATATAAAACAAATAAAAATGATATTATAGCTTAAATTATGAAGGGAACATGTCAGAAAACCTTGGGAGTCAGATCAAGGTTTTCTGACATGGGGCTAGTTTGAGTTTCAAAATGATGAGAGTAATAGATTTTAACCCATTAAATTAAAACCCAAACCCAAACCCAAACAAAAATGAAAACCCATGAGACTACACTTAAAATAAACAAATAAATAAGGGAATAGGATACCAACTAATATATGTAGGAGGAATAATAGTGTTAGAAAATCATCATTTGCAACCATCATAACTATCAGACAGCAATTACCAGCGGATGCTAAAACTAGTGAGTGAGAATTTGATGAAGACCAGGATATTTACAAAGTCTTAAAAATTATCTCCCCATAGTGTATTTTTTAACTACAGAGGATAAAACAATTTTTAATTACAAAGAACTTTATGGTGGAGTGACCTGGTACACACCACCATAACTACTTAAGTAATCAAAGTTAACATCACCAATAATCGGACAAACAAATATCACGTGCTTCCTGATGTGGTACACTGAGAAGAACACAACATCATTTATATAATTTTGTTGCAAAGAATGCATAACCTAAATCTAATTATAAGGAAATATTAGACAAACTTATATTGAGGGATTTTTACAAAGGAAATTGCATGTACTATTTACAAAGGTCAATGTTGTAAAAGACAGAGAAAGGCTAATTCTGGACCAGACAAACAAAAATTGTTGTAAAGGACATTTTGGGGACAGAATTTAAGTAACTTCTCTATATTAGATTACATAATAGCATTATGTCAATATTAAATTTCCTGATTTTGATTATTATACTTTGATAATGTAAGTGAATGTCTTTGTTCTTGGGAAATACACACTGAAGTATTTAGAGGTAATAAAACATGGTATCTTCAACTTACTCTCAAATAATTCAGAAAAAAAAGTTATACATAGAGAAAGGTGAGAGCAGGAGGGGGAATGGTAGGAAACAATGATGAAGTGATTGTGGCAAAATGTCAATCTGGATCAAGCACATGATATACTATGCTTGAAACTTCTGTAAGTTTAAAATTATTTCAAAATGAAAAGTTGAAAACATAAGTGATGATGTACTGGATGCACTGGGCCTGGACCTCCTTCTATTTGCTGCCTTCCCTTCATCTATTTTCTTCTAAGAAGGATCCTAAATATAGTTTGAAAATTACTGCAATAAAGTGATTATTCCTTCTAGCAATGAAAAGGGAGGATGCAAATAGTTTTAGATTTAATAATTATTTTATATAAGAAAGGGGACACAATGTTTCACTAGCTGTTAAGAAGAGACTACTTGTTTTTTTTACATATTTCTAATGTGCAGATATTATTGGTAAACATTGATAGACACTTAAAGAGCATATGGAAAAAAAATTAGGCACTAAGGCAAATTCTCTATTTGGCCTACGGGCTCAGGGAATTGTGAGGGAGGCTGCCCATAGACAGTTAGGAAGAAACTTATTTAGGTAGCAGCAATAAATTTTACTTTTAATTTAGATAAAAGTAAACATGTGCAACTAAAATGAGGCATAGGAAGGGATAAAGTGTGGAAATTCTGATCAGCATAATTATTTGAGTTTATAATCATGGTAAGATTGGCTGCTATCACTAGAATGACAGGGTGACCTTTAGAAGTGACCTTTAAAAGTTAGAGGACAAATGATGAAAAAGATAATTCAGAATAGA